TTAGGCTCCACCTTGCTCTTCCTCTTTTCAGTTTCTGCCTTGGAGGCAGCAAACCATGGCTGAACCCACTGTAAACTGTGAGCAAAAATTAACCTCTCCTTTAAATTGTGAGTGCTGGGTACTTTCTTTCAATCAAAGAAATGTGAGTCTTACAATATGCAACCAGAAACAATTTGCCTTACTCACTTTGGCTTTGTGTATTCTTTATTATATTTTATCTTGCCTAATTGATCTGGATAAAGTACCTAGTTCATTATGAAATAAGAACAGTGAGAGAGTACACTCGCCTTATTTTCGATCTTACAGGAAATGCTTTTAGTTTTCTCCCATTCAGTGTGAAGTTGGCTATGTGTTTGTCATGCACAGCCTATTTTATGATGTTGATAAGGCTCAACCCTGTCGGTGCCCAGCCACATGAATTCCGGGACTCTGACAACAATCACAGCCCATTCCTATGCCAGGTAGTTCCTTGCCTGAGCCAAGGAATAATGTGTAGAATGCAACACACCTACCCCACTGCCTAAGTCACAGTGCCCATTGCTAGAGCCACTTAGCCGTTCTTACTGCCCCAAGCTCATACTGCTCCCTTTGGGTCACCTCTTCTAAGCCTATCCTGTCGACCTCCATATCCTATCCATTGAAGATCCAGTGCTATGAACTTCATTCAAATGCTCTTTGGGGTTACTCCAAGCAGGAACTCTCAAATGTGTCTTTGATGTGATTTTCATCATTTACATAACCATGAGGTATGCTTCTTCTATGCCTAGTTTATTCACAGTTTCACTGTTAAAGGACTATTGAATTACATAAAATGGATCTATTGAAAAGGCCATGTGATTTTGTCTAAATCTATTTATACGCATTATTATATTTATAGATTTTTCTTGCATCCTTGTAATTAAAACAACTTAATTATGATGTATGTTTTTAATATACTATTTAATTTAATTTTAAAGTATTTTGTGGATGATTTTTTATGTACCTTAATCACAAACACTGAACTGTATTCTTTCTTTTCTTTTTTTCTTTCTTTCTGTCTGTCTGTCTGTCTGTCTGTCTGTCTTTCTTTCTATATTGTTTTGTCCTTCTTGGGTTTTGGTAGCAGGGTAATGCTGGCTTTGTAGAATGAGTTTGAAAGTGTTTCTTTCCTTTCTATTTTATGGAATTGTTGGAGAAACATTGGTGTTGGTTCTCATTTAAATATATTGCAAAATTTATCATCTTGCCTTGTCTTTTCATTTTTGAGAGAATTTTTACTATTTTAGTAATTGGCCAATATATTTTTACATCCTCTTGCTTCAATATTGTAGATCATATCTATCTACTTTCCATTTTTTCTTGATTTTCCTTGTAACTGGCATATTATTATTGTTGTTATTGTAATTATTTAATTTATCTGGTACAGGGCCATGCTATGCAGCTTGAACTCATAGTGATCCTCTTATCTTAGCCTCCCCCATGCTGGAATGACAAATGTGTGCCACAACATCCAGTTTGGGTGGCTGGCTTGGTGTGGGGCTGGCAAGATGTGCAGTACAAGGGATCAAACTCAGATCCTTATACTTGCTAGACAGGTGCTTAGACTGTTGAGCTATCTCCTCCTATCAAAAACTTCTTTTAATTAATTAATTAATTAATTAATTAATTAATTTTACATCACTGGAAATTGAACTTGGGACCTTATGCATGCCAGGCAGGCACTTATGACACTGAGCTATCTCCCCAGCTATTTTTCAAAGTATTACTTAATTGCTCTTTAAATCATATAGTGTGGAGAACTACCTGAGCAGCTCTCCTTGAAAGAAGAGCGACTGTCTCCATCTTGACTAAGCCTGACCCTATTTCCTCGTATTGTTCTGTACAGAGCTGGCTAGGACTTCTGTTTATCCTTCAATTGGCCTTAAGCTATGTGTATTGGTCTAGCTGAGGTGCTGGTGATAGTCTTTGAAGGTGGCGTGCATGTTTCCCTGGTAACCTATTCCTGCTGCTTCTTAATGTGAGCCAGGTTGAGACAGGAAGGAAGAGCTAATGCTCTGCAGCGCCAGCTTGGATCGAGCCTCTAGACAGAGGCCATGACTTCCTGGGGCTTGAAAGGCTACACCAAAGCTGAAGCACCAGACTTAGCAAAACATGAGATACTATATAATGCAGATTACTCTCTCTGAATATTCTCTCTGCATATTGCAGAGGTAAATGTAGGCCACCCACCTAGCTCAGCTCACAATGATCACCTACTTCCCACAATTCTCAGTCAATCCTCCTCAAGCCACTCCTCCACTGAATAAAAACTGGGTGAGGGCCTGGGTCTCTCTCTTGGTTCCAGAAAGCCATCTTCAAGGCTGGACTTAGAGCCCCTTGACTCCCCGATGATTGAAAATATAATTTAGTGTCTTTATTTTCACCGTGGGTTGCATTGAAAGTGGTAGATTGGAATCAACTTGGTGGGATTCCAATAACGTAATTTTGGGATTGCAAATAATGACTTCTTGGGCTGAGACAAAGATCTGAAAGTGTCTCCTACAAGATAGTATCAATGATATTATTTTCTTTTCATCTATAATTTCATTTACTTGGTTATTTTCATTTTTTGTTATGATAGGTAAAATTTTGTGAATTTTTAAAAATGTGTTCAAAGATCCAACTCCT